AAAAGAAAAATCTTTAGGCGCTTATCCTATTGACTTTTTTTCATAGTGAACACCCGTTTGACTATTAGTAATCCCCTTATGATCGGCGTGCATTCTTAATGAAATTAGCCACTAGGTATCGCGGCCAAACTGAGTAGCGAGACATGCACGTTACGGTTGTTTACAGCTGCACACAGAAAAATAACGTGCCCCATGTATGTGTTGCACGTAAAAGTGTCGCAGACTCTAGCATGAAAATGTGTCACACTGGAATGTGTCGTGTTTTACGACGCATGCATCACATTATTTTTCTGTGTGTGTGCGCAATCCCTCACAGAGATTCATGATCTTTGAAAAGAAATGAATCGTTTGTTAAGGATAGTTTCGAGCCTGTGTAACTACCGATCGGCTGCAAGTGAATCTTATAAGGCCTCGCCAAAAACCTCTCTTATTTAGAGCATACTGATTGATCTTTACATTACATTGTTGAATCACAAAATATGTCATTTCGATATCTAAATATTTCTCATTACTAATTCAGCAATAGTAAGACGATCTCATTTGATATATTGACCGTGTGTGGTACACTACAGTTTCTAGCAATTACTTGCAACTCTTTCTCGAATTTCCGATTCATGTGACAGGCAAATCATCTATCTAGTCTTCTACTAGTCTTTTCATACAGTAAACAATTTATTTGAGATAATCATCATAGCTAAAAAGTAAGCTGATAAACTGCTATTTTTTAGATCCGTAATAAAACAAATTTAAAATTGGTGAGGATATTCAGATCAATATTTGTATTCAATTGGCTCGTATCAAAGAGGTTTGTTTTTCTTGAAGTCTTTGTTAACTTTTCCGCTAATGTACTAAAATTTATGTCAATATTTTAGTTTTAATTTCGCATCTTTGTCAATTATCCCTGAAATCAACAACAAAAATAACAAGAACAACGAAATCGATTATTTGAACAATATGTTTCAAAAGGTATTTGCTCCACTGCCACAAAACTCTATGCAAACATGTCTTAAAGCGCATTATCAACACGAAGGAGAACTTTACGTCCAAAAAAGAAGACATGTTCCTCGAGACACACCGATGACAGTCTCCGAAATAATTGAGGATGAGATGCCAGAACAACACACAGAATTTTTTGCTCATTTGAGTTATTTCGGTATTTCTACGCTTGATGCCGACGGAAGACCTTGGGCAACAATTCTTGTTGGCTCACCTACAACACTCATTTATCCTGTATCCAAAATGCAATTGAACATTTCTGCAGAGGTATCAGAAGGCGATCCATTTGTTTCCAGTATAATGAGTACAATTCATGCTACCGGTCGTTATTTCGCTGGACTTGGTGTGGATTTTAGCAACCGTCGAAGAAACAAAGTAGCAGGATTTATTGCTTCCTCTGATATCGTGAACAATATCCTCAACATGTCTCTAATAACCAATGAAAGTTTAGGAAATTGTCCAAAATATATTACAATTCGAAAATTGAAATATCACAAAAGACATTCACAAATTGGAGTTGACCATCGAATTGAAGACAATGTTTCTTTAAATGAAGAATGCCGAAATATAATCAATCAATCTAGTACCATATTTCTCGCCACTCGTCACATGAGTCATACTTCTGGCAACACTTCAGATCTTGGTTTGAACCATCGTGGAGGACCTCCTGGATTTGTTCGAGCTTATGAAGAAAATGGAAGTACATTTATTGTTATTCCAGATTTTTCGGGAAATCGATTCTATCAATCTCTTGGCAACATTGAAAGTGATCGAGTTGCTGGGGTTGTATTTCCTTGCTTTACCACTGGTGATATGCTTCATGTGACTGGTATTGCTGAAAATATTTACGATGATGAAGCTGAACGAATCATGCCTCGTGTTACCTTGATTACTCGAATCAAATTGACTGGACATGTGTGGATTAAAGAGGCTCTCAACCTCGAATTACTTGCTCCTGAAGAATATTCTCCCTATAATCCACCCGTTCACTACCTTGCTATTGAACTCGAAAAAATGGGCAAACCTGCCAAACCAGACAACAGTCGGGCTACCTTGCTAGATATTAAGAAACTGACCAAGAATATTTCAAGATTCACATTTGAATTGGAAAAAAAAGTTACATTTAAACCTGGCGGATATGTTATTTTCGATTTTTCACATTTGATTAAACGCGCATATCGTCACATGAACGATGCCAATCCTCAGTCCATCAATGATGACTACGTTCGAACATGGACCATCTCTTCATCGCCGTCATTTGACTCAAATACGAACACGTTCCAAGCCACAAACCAGGTATCATGTACCATCAAGCATCGACCTGAAGGTGCGATATCTTCTTTCTTACATTCTCGCTCGATTGACCGGCAATCGCCACTAGATGTCCAATTCATTGGAGTGGGTGGAGAATTCACCTGCTTTGATGAAAACAATCATGCTCCTGAAAAAATTTTATTCATCGCAGGTGGTGTTGGTTTCACACCATTCTTGGCCATGTTCGAAGCTTTGTCCCAAACCAAACAGAAGGTTGATATCGTCGTTCTTTACGCTGGTCGTGGTGATGAAATTAATCTACTTAACGACTTTATCTCATCTCCTATTGTTTCCAGCGTCTCCGTCTTTGACTCGACTGGTATCAATGCTCCTACCGAACGTGAATCCTTCAAAATCTACAATCGAAGAATGCAGTCCAGTGACATCATCAAGGTTTCTGATGTTACTAACAGACAGGTTTATATTTGTGGACCTGCGCAATTTATGATTGATGCTGGCTTGTGGTTGGAAAAGGCTGGTGTTAAACCAAGTCAAATTAAGAGGGAATCTTTTCTCTTTTGACAAAGTTTTTTCAATTTATTAGAAATGTATTCAATGAAATAGTCTCAAGAAACCTTAGAAAGTTTCAATTTCAATAAAAAAGTCACATTCACAAATCAAGTTTCTAATTTTCTTCTCTCCAGATCTTATTTGAATAGTGCTATCGAGACACAATCTTTCTGTCCAGAAGTGTTTTCGATCTGATCTTCTTATTGCTTCCCGTGGTGCATAGATTTCAAACTATTGTCGGATTTTTTTTAAAATGCTATCCACCATTTTGGGAATAACTCGGCAACGGTGATAGCTAGCGGGCTGGGGTTTTCACCATTAGATAGAGCGGCTGGGGGAGCCCATAGCCACATATAAGAAATAGAAATTGGAAAATTTCTCTACCTTTGTTTTCAGAGAAATATCTTTTTTGATACATAACCCTTATGCTCTCCGTAGCAACATAGACTCAAATTACATCAAAATGTAGCCCGACTCTTGCCCTATCTACCATATAATCTTCACACCATTTGAATATTTTCTCGAAGGGTTGCATATTTTTTAACATATTGAAAAACATGTGTTTTTACATGCGAAATAGACACATATTATGCATGAAAATATATGTTTTTCATGATATTGTATCTAATGGTATCATCCTTTTCACTTATGGAAGTTTCGAAAGCGTGTTTTCTTTTAGAACTATAAATAAACAAATAAGCTGCCCATTGTTTTTTGACAAACTTAAAGAAAACAAAAGTAAAATTCGCATCATGCTTGTGAGGAAAAATAGAAGAATTTATTTTTTTTATAGCAAATATATTCTTCAAAATTCCTTCCTTGATGACTTGTTTGTTCTCTATTCCTTTTTATCGGGCCTAGTAGTGTGATGCAGTTCTAGTTAGTATGACATCATAAGTATATATACATGGCAGTAGTTTTCTTTTCCTTCTTTTACATATATGAAAAAAAAACTGAATAAAGCTTTGTTGTTTCGTCGTTTATGTTCAGGTCATCGAAGTGCGTTTTGTTTTTATCTGTTCTATACAACTTTGTATCTCTGTCTTGATCTGACTCATAATGATCTGGAACTTTCTTCAATGTAAAAGTTGGTGTATATATACCCACCGCTTTTTATGACTATTTCATTTTACTTATTATCAAACTATAATAAACCTGATTTAATAGAGAATTCGAAACGAACCATTGAAGAATATTATTCTTTTGAAAATCGTGTGAAGTACTACCGTATTGTGTGTTATTCAAAAAGTTTAAGATGTCTGGCCAAGAATTTTCTTTAGAAATGAAGCGATTATTTTTTCGTGTAATTGCGTTTATTGAATCGGAGAAGTATGGCCCACAGATTCCCCTGAATAACACTTTCGAGCGCTTTCAAGCTTGTCTCGGAATTTCAATCCGATCGATAATTAATTTAAAGAAAGAGATGCGAGAACTCAATGAACAAGCGGAAGAAACGAATACGAAAGATTCAGAAGAAGATGAACACTTGTATTCTCTTCGGAATCGTCAAGTAGTTGGCACCGTCTCGTCAGCAACGACTGTTGCAAATATGAACAGAGCAACATTGTCAAATGTAGCTTCGTTGACCACTACCTCTTATTCTCATCGAGAAAGACATCCACCTATACGAGATACCAGATCTTTTGTCTGCGTTCCAGAGCCGATAGCACCGCAGAAAATCGGTAACGTTGGACGTAAGCCAATCGTATTAAGTCCATTAGGTGAAGATACCATTCGTTATGTTTTCCACCAAATGCTTGAGGAAAAAATATATCCAACAGCTTCTACACTTCTTGTCCGTTTGCTCAACGATAATTCGGATTTTCCTATTCGAACAGAATCTACTCTTCGTAAAAAATTGAAAGAAATTGGTTTTCAATATCGACGAACAGCAAAGGTTCCAGAGATTCTTGAGTAAGCTATTATGACTTTTCGTAACTAAACATTAATCTTAATTGGTCACCTAATGCTGACTTTTCCTTAGTTCGATATCGTTTATGGCCCAGCGAGCCACCTATTTTCAAGCCTTGGATCATCTACGCATTAATGACGCTCATATTTAATATTATGATGAAACCTGGTGTAACGTTGGCGAGGAAAAGGTCTCAATCTGGTTGAATGACCGAGGGGATGGTCGTCTACGGAAGAGTAGTGGCATTGGCAAAAGATTAGCAATCTCAGCAATGTTATCTGACCGTGGAGTGGACAAAGATACAGTAAATATTTTTCTGTGTGATGAGAACCATTCGATGAATAGTACCTCTTTTATTGGATGGCTTCGAAAAGCTGCCGCACATTTACGTCATAAGCATCGCGAGCCAACCCAAATTTGTATTGTTTTGGATAACGCACGGTGGCACAATGAGCTGTGTGATGATGCTAAGCCACCAAAGCGATCGTGGAGAAAAAATCAAATTGAAGAATGTCTTAAACGAAGAAACATTAAATATGAAAGCTCACTCAAAAAAGCACAGTTGTTAGAATTAGCTATTGCGAATGCTGCACCTAAGAAATTCAAAACCGACGCGGCAGCAGCCGAATTAAATGTGCAGTTACTCCGTCTTCCTACCAAACACTGCACATTGAATCCGATAGAGCTATTATGGGCTAAACTTAAGGAATACATTCGAAAGTATAACACGTCTTTCGTAAGTCTTCTGAATCTTTTACACTTTGACTATCTTGCAATAGTCTGTCTTAGAAGATTGCATCTTGTCTCACTTTTTTCTCTTTAATAGCGTCTCTCAGACATTCAGTCATTATCTTTTAATTTTCTCAATTCACTTGACTCCGATTCTTGTCAAAAATACATTGAACATATTCGCAAAGTAGAGTCAACATTTCGTGCAGCTGATAAAATCGTCGAGGAAGAAATCGAATCTAGTCTTATCGATTCTGAATCAGACGATGATCAAGATGCCGACGAAAATATCGAAGATGCAGACAATGATCGAATGTAAAACTTTCGCATTTGTTCTCGAATTTATGCATTTTTCTGTTTCATGTCAATAAAAGGCGTCACTTTTTTGTGACACTCATAAAAGACTATAGGATATTCTCCTTAAAGTTGCATCACACTA